TTGCTAAGTGCCTTTCTGACAGCATTATAGTATCCAAATGCATCGCGGAAGCGATTCTTGACCATTTTACAGAGTGCATTTAGAGTGAGAATCAGACTCTCCTTGCTCTTGTAGAGACGCATCAATTCAGCAATCATATCAGAGTTCTGAACGCCATGCACTTTCTGAAAATTTGCATCGTCGTACTTGTTGGGATATTGGATTCGAGCAATGAATTCTTTTGGATCCCATTGCATAGTCTCCTTCCCCGATTTGTATAATCTGAGAGGTTGTCTCACATACAATTCTATGGTGGCTTTGGAGAGCTTGTCATTGCTCATTTCGAGATCGCGAACAATTATTTGTTTCAGTTCATCTAGATTTTGGTTTTTGGATTTAAGCTTTGACATTTTTTATTTTGTGCTTATATATAAAGATGTATAAAGAGTTCCGTGTCAACCTTAGCCACGCGCAGACCTTAAAGGTTTTGCATGGAAAACCTGTTCGATTAACGCATGCACAGCTTAATGCTGGTCATGCTCCAGATTTTGGTCCCGAGACTTACAAGAAGCTTGTCAAAGCGTATGAATCTGGTAAAGGAACGACTTTACGTATGACACACGGCGACGTTTTGCGTACGCATCAATCTGGACTTGATGGTAGCGGCTTTTGGGGCGATTTATGGGATGGAATCAAAGAAGCTGGAAAATCAGTTTGGGGATTTTTGAAGAATAACTGGAAGCCAATTGCTGGCTCTGTAATGGATACTGTTGCTGATCTTACTGGTCCCGAGACTGGTGGGTTTAGTCATGAAATTCGTAAGGAGTGAAGCAATTAACAGGTGTTGGAATGGCCCAACCTCGTCGCAATCGTCGAATTGCTGCTTCGGGAAGCTTCAGACTGGGTTGAAATTATTTGGAAAGAAGAACCCATAAGGAGTGGCTCCATTTTCCTTGTATCGCTTGAATGTGATACGCTTGTCCAGCTTCGAGATATTCTCACAAAAGGTCAGACAGCTTGGTGGGACGTGGCTTCTTGTTTTCAATGAACTGAATTTGCACCTTGAAGAAGTTCTTTGGATCATATGCCTTGATCACAGAATTATCGTCCTCTGTTGGCTTACGCTTGCAGTAGGTGATATCAGATCCTTCAAAGACGTAGAACACGTGGATGAAGTAGAGCACAAATCGTTTCAGCAAATGAAGAGACTCGAAGCTGGTAGGTTTCAACATCTTCTCCAAAGTACTGAAATTTAAATCAAAGTCACGATTGGGCTTGTTCTCGATCACTAGATACTTCTCCGCCCAATACTCACGCTCATCGATCTCAAATGATGTATCAACCATGGCTGAACGCATGTCATCAATTATTCGACCAGTTAATTCCACCAGCTGAGTTAGCGTTGCCAACTTCCGCTCAGACTTGAATGTCAATTCGAAATCTTGATCAAGTGTAGAAAGCTCAAACATCTTCGAAGTGGATGTTTTCATTGGCTCCTTGACTTCGTATTCATCCTTCCATTGCTTGTATGCAGCAGAATCACAACCAGCAGCAATCCCTTTCAGTTTGCCTTCGTTCAGTGATGGATTATACTTGGAATCAAACCAACCATCGAATTCTTTGGTAGCAAACTCCTTGTTGAAACGCTCTACTTTTTGTTTGAGCACACAGAGATAGGTCTTGCGCATCAAATACCAATCAGAATGACGTTGACGAGCAAAGAATCCAGCGAGATTCCACACGTTTTGGTTGTTGCAGAACCAATCGCCTCGAATCATCATGCACAATTGATATAATCGCTCATCGTAGGATTTAGTAGTATTCCACACCGCATTCAACGTTCGCTTGTTCAAATGATTCACGTCTTCACTGGACTTGAAGAAGAAGTTATCAAGCATCTCCGATTCATCCAGTTCATTGAATTGATATTGCAAAAGGTACGTGTATCCGTCGTTGCCAAAGTCGGGTGTGACATTATCACTGTGCTTGCAGTCGATGGAATCACCAACTGCGTGCATCTTCGACTTGATGCAATGACTTGGTGACAATACGCGTGAATCTCCCAGCTTGGGTTCATTGCATTTATCAACAGATTTGGTGTGCTGAATGCAATGCTCACCATAATTTTTTTCAATAGATTTGGTCATCATTGGTTCAGCAACTGCAGGCTCAGCAACTACAGGTTCAGCAGCAACTGGTTCAGCAGCTACTGGCTCGTCAATCACTGGTTCAGCAACTGCTGGCTGATACTTCGCGTGGTGTCGGCACCAATCGCCTTTTGAGCCGCACTGTTGGCTCGCCTTTGGGTGGTTTTCTGGGAAGATGTACTTACACATTGTTATTTCGATCTATTTATTTTTTATCGCTCAAGATGAACTCACTATTATTTAGTTTCTAAATATTGAGGAACATATATGTGAAAAATAAAAATAATTAATGTGGAGTGATCTGTTTGGTTAAAATTGTGCGGTGTGTCCATGAATGTGTGCTGCTTCTCAGTCGAGAACTTTCCGCACGAAGATGGCTGAGGAAAAGAACATGGAGGAGGCGGAGACGGAGGTGAAGCTTCGCTGCGGTGTGTATGGCGAAGGGAGCGTCTTCTCCGTCGAGATCCAGCGCAATGCAGATGTGGAGGCACTGCAGGAGAAGATCGCTGGCATCTTGAGCACCGAGTAGCACACTGTCCCCCCAAGGTTGTTGACGCTGTACAT